CATAGATGGCTTTTATCAGATTGAGATAAAGACCATCTATTTCAATTCTCAGTAGTTTTTTTTTATTATGAATGTGTGTTTGTCTTCATCAAATGCTTTTCCTTGCATCTGTAGAGATTATATGGTTTTTGTCCTTGGCTTTGTTAATATGGTGTATTACATTAATATGGTGATTTGCTTATGTTGAGCCATCCCTGCATTCCTGGGATGAATCCCACTTGGTCAAAGTATATAATCTGCTTGATGATTTGCTGCATCATGTTTGTGTTATTAAAGATTTTTCTAGGGACAGTGGCCTGTAGTTCTCTTTTTTGGTTGGATTCTTTTCTGGTTTTGGTATCAGTGTAAGTCTTGTTTCCAGGAATAAATTTGTGAGTACTGCTTCCCTTTCACTTTCATTAAAGAGTTTGAGAGGCTGCGGCATTAGATCTTCTCTAAATTTCTTGTAGAATTCTGCAGTGAATCTGTCATGGCCTGAGCTTTCCTTTTGTGGTAGGTTTTTAATTACATCTTTAATTTCATTGACTGATACTGGTTTATTTAGAGTTTTTAAAAATCTTTTTGATTCAGTTTTGGTAATTCACATGTATGTAGGAATCTGCCTGGTTTTTCTGTGTTTTCCATCTTATTAGAATATAGGTTTGTCTTGGTTACTTTTTTTCTCGCTGCTGGGACAAAATATCTGACGACCAAATTTAAGGAAGGAAAGGTTTATTTTGTTTACAGTTTGTGGAGGTTTTAGTCCATATTTGGCAGATTACAAGGCACAGTGGCACATGGCAGAGAGCTACGGTTCATGGCGGCAGAACACAGCAAAGACACCACCACACACACCAGGGCGGAATGGGGGAGGAATTGCCTCAAGCACTCTTTTCCTCTCCCTTACATATGCAAACTATCCACCCCAGGGCGGGTGCAGCTCTCACACCCCTAATCAATCAAACTTTAGAAGCCTGCCCCATGACCGCTTGAGGCTTTGGGGGGACACCCAGACATAAACCATAACAAGGTTCTTGGAGTAGGTACTGATGATCTGGATTTCTGCAGGATCTGTGGTTAGTTCACTCTTTTCATTCCTAATTACGTGGATGTGAGTCTTTCCTTTTCTTTGATAAGGCCGGCTAAGAGTTTGTCCTGGGGTATGTCCGAACCCAAACGACTCACCAGCCACTGCAGTCCGCTCTGCCTACCACACCATTCCACAGAGGCCTCTGGGGTCGCCAGCAGTCACCGTGTGTCTGCAGGCTTGACTGCCCTTCCCAGCCAGTGAGTCTGGGCTCAGGGAAAAAGCACTGCTGTCCACCTCCTTCTTCACTGAAGTCCCCCTCTTCACTCTCTCTGTGGGCGTCAGTCCTCACCTCAGATCCTTTCTGGGTCCTGGGGACCCACGTTCCTCCTTTTCTTCCTCATGTTCTATATTCCAGTGTCTGGGCACCAAATCTCAGAGAGGCTGTTTCTCTGCTGTTCACTGCTCCATCATCCTCCTGGAAGTCCAGTTCTGTCATTTTTTATGTGACCACTGGAATTTTCTATCTGTGTGTAACTTTATTTGCTTTTGATTTTGGGTAACGTATGAGGTGCAGACTTCTGGAAACCAGAAAGCCCAGTAGCAATGAGATGGGAATCAAGAGGGCTGGACAGAACTGGCTGAGGAAGTAGGCGTGACCTGTTACATACAAGATCCTGACACATGCGCAGAACGGTTCCCAAAGCCCTGCATGTGGACGTCTTACAGGAACTCTAGTGGGCTTTCAGTAGGAAGCCTTGACCTGACCTCAGCCTGAGGCAGGGATCCCAGCACTGGCCAGATACAGAAGTTCTCATGGGTTCCCTCGACATTTGGACACGTGGAAGCTATGAAGGCTTTGCCATAGTAACTTTCCACCATAGCCCTCTCCATTTCCCAGGCGTAGTGTGTACTTTATCTTTATTCTCATCCTCCTTTTCCCTTTACTCTGCCCAAGCTCTCTGCACAGTCACATTGTCTCCCAGTCTTTCCCTTCACTTCCTCAAATAAACGTTGCCACGCTTTTTGCTCCTTTCATTCAATTCTTTGTTCGAGATGAGAAGAACCTGGAATCCAATTCCAGAAGAAGAGGCAAACAAGCCCAAACCCAGGAACGTTTAGCTGGGGAGCCACTTTTTAGAAGCAAGCAACCCAATAACAGCAAGATGCCCTCCTTCTGCAGCGGGGCATGCACAGGAGTGTCACACAGCAAGTGCAAGCTCATCCCTCATGCCCTCAGCTAACTGTAAATACTGTGTGTGTGTGTGTGTGTGTGTGTGTGTGTGTGTGTGTGTGTGTTTGAGACAGGGTCTATGTAGCTCAGACTGGCCTCAAACTCAGTGACCTTCCTGCCACAGCCTCCTGAGTGCTAGGATTACAGGACTGAACTACCATACCCGACCTCCCCAAACACCTCTTAAAAGTCTCCACCTCCAACACAATCTAAATCAGCAGACTGAGTTAACATGTGAACATTTGAGGGTCACAATCCAACCACAGCATGAAGTAATGCTATTACGACTTCTTGTGAGTACTTCCTTCAGCAAGAGATGGCCACAGCGTGAAGACCATCATTCCTACATCAGTACCATGGGTGAAGGGGCTACACGGTTTAAAAAAAACTAAGTCACAAGGATCCTCCCACCTCAGCCTCCCGAGTGCTGGGATTACAGGCATGTGCCACCACGCCCAGCTATTTTATTTTTATTTTAACTTCATGCTATTTCCACAAGGAACAGCCAAACTGATCTACTGGAAATCCTTAAAGCTCAAAGCCACGGGCTGGGGCTGGGGCCCAATGGTAGAATTCTTGCCTTGCATGCACAAGGCTGTGGGTTCTATCCCCGGCACCCCCCACCCATAAAAAAGCTCAAAGCAATTTTGATTCTTGCAAATGCTACCACAAGGCCCTAATAGTGTGCTGAACCTCTCTTGCATGGAAAGGAACAAATATTTGATACTCATCTTCATTGTGTTCTGGAGTTGGCTTCCTGGTTTTTTTCTTTTCCTTCAGTCTAGAGGAAGGGAGTAAAAGAAACTTCCTGGTAGACCTCCTACTGTAAGGAACATATTTAAAAAAATAAACAAGAGGGCAAGTGCAGAGTTCCTCATCCCGTTTGCCTGGCAGCACTCAGCCTCCAGGCTGGGGGAGGAGAGTGTGAGGCTGCGAGCCGCTCAGTACTCAGCGGAAACATGGGGTACACAGGGCCGGAGGGGTGGAGGTGCCGGAGCCTCAGGGAGGGACCCTGTGTGCTTGTGCAGTTCACAGTGGAGAACGAGTCAGGTCACAAAGTCCAGCGCTTTCACTTGTTTTTGGAGTATTGCAGAGTTGGAAAAAGACACTCCTCAGAGGAGAAGTGAAATGCACAGAAGAGAAGGCAGTTGAGCTCTGTCTGGAAGCCTGGCACTGTTTAGGGTGCTAAGCTCCAGAGGCAGAGGGTGGTCCCTGAGCCAGGGCCACCAGGTGCAGGGCAGCAGGTTGCCTCACTGAGGCGGGGGAACGTCCTTGTGCGACACTTGTCCAGTATTTGCCTGGCTTTTCATTTTGTTTTTGTTTTTCTGAAACAGGGTCTCACTATGCAGTTCAGGCTGGCCTTGAGCTCACTTTGTAGCCCAGGCTGGTCTCGAACTTGCAACGACCCTCCTGCCTCAGCCTCCAGAGTGCTGGGATTACAGGCGTGTGCCACCACGCCCGGCTTCTGGCTTTTCATTTTGTATGCCTCACCACCCAGCCTACATGAGGGGAAGTATGCTTTCATTTTTTCCTATATCATCTACCTTCCTTAGTAAATAAATAAGCAACACATATATTATGTAGTGTGGAAAAGGACATTTTTTAGTTACTCTTTCAATGTACTGCCTTAGGACTGACCAAGCATTGATTGTTGAGTTCCGGAGGAAGTCTAGCAAAAGCATTGGTGGAAAGGAAAAATTGCAGTATCTGGGTCCTTGTGGAAAGCCCCGGGGTCAACACTAAATGCTTCGCTGAGATATGCCTGAAGGAATGATAACATGATGGCCAACTAGTCAAGTCTTACTTATGTGATATGGAGTTATATTGTCCTTGTTAAATCGGTTGATATCCTCCCATTTGCACTGCTGCTTCCTTTGTTCTTTCTCAATAAAGAGTTACTGAAATTGGTAATAGGGGCTGCAGTCCAGGAGACTGTAAGCCCCCTGACCCAGAATTTTGCCTCTCTTGTTTTTCTTTTTTCCCTTACTTTCCTATTCATCTGCTGGTACCTTGTTCTGGGGACTGGTTCACCCTGGACACGAATGGATTATTAATCTGACAATGTAGGTGAGGGGATTGGCTGATTCACTAGAGGCAACATAAAAAATGAAGGAGTTTATGGCATGAAAAATCTGTGTCTTAATGGGTTAGAACGTGTTCTACTTCTTCACATTTACAATTACTAAAAAAATTTCCCATGCTAACGTTAGATAGCACCGGCAGTAATATTTGATAGCATTAGAGAATAACCTTCACACAACAAATAATGCCAGAGGGGAGCCAAGAAAGGATCAGCAGTGGACACTAAAAGATTTCATTAAAAAAAAGATTGCACTGGAAGTCGAGTATGGTGGTGCAAGTGTATAATCCCAGCATTTGGGAGGTTGAGGTAGGAGGATCACTGAAGTTCACTGTCAGCCTGGACTATAGAGTGAGTTCAAGGGCAGCCTGAACTACATAGTGAGCCCCTGTCTCAAAAAAAAAAAAAAAAAAAAAAGATTTCACAGATTTCATTGGGTTCATTGGCATAAAAGTGGTTGGGGCATAGTCACACTGAATCAAACTGTCACTCCAAGCAATACTTATTAATCACAAAAGGAGGAGAAGGATTAGGCCTGGAGATGTAGCTCAGTAGTAGAGTACTTACTTAGCATTCTCAAATCCTTGAGTTTCAACCCCAGTAAAAGTGACAATAAAGCCAGGTGTGGTGGTGCATGACTGTAATCCCAGCATTTAGGAAGCTGAGGCAGGAGGATTATGGCAAGTTCAAGGCCAGCCTGACTACACAGCGAGATCCTGTCTCAAAAAAAAAAAAAAAAAAAAGTTACATTAAGTTAGAGAGATCTAAAGCCCAGTGTGGTGGTGCACAACTGTAATCCCAGTACTTGGGAGGCTGAGGCAGGAGGATCACTGCGAGTTTGTGGCCAGTCTGGCTACAAAGTGAGCTCAAGGCCAGCCTGAACTGCACAGTGAGATTCTGTCTCCAAAAGACAAAAAAAGAGAGGTCTAGAGGGCACCCCCGAACCATGCATTCAAACTTATCACTCGGCGAGAACAATGCGATAATTACCCTTCTGATGTGAAGCTCTGCAAAGTCTACAATGTCGCCTATGTAGATTTTGTTTGTGTTTCTGTCAGAATTGTTTCCTTTATTATTATTATTATTTTTTTGTCTTTTTGAGACAGGGTCTTGCTATGCAGTTCAGGCTGGGCTTGAGCTCACTTTGTAGCCCAGGCTGGTCTTGAACTCATAACAATCCTCCTGCCTCAGCCTCTAGAGTGCCGGGATTACAAGCGTGCGCCACCATGCCCAGCAAAACTGTTTCCTTTAAAGGGAGCGAAATCCCAAATCCAGACTGTGAGACACACAGTGAGACAAGTGGGCCAGACAGAACGGCAATGTCGCGAGAGGGAAGGGTGGCAGCAGAACCATTGGAGGTCAGAGGCTATGAAACAGCATCACAGGGGCTGGGGATTTAGCTCAGTGGCAAAAGCGCCTGCCTGGCAAGCGCAAGGTCGTGAGTTCGGTTCCTGGTACCGGAGAAAAACCAAAA